ACTGGAAGGTCGCGGGTTAGAGTCCCAATGAGGTCACTGGATTTTTTTTTAGTTCATCTAATTTTCCCAACCGCACTATGGCTTTGGGGTCGACTCAACCTCTAACAGAAATGAGTACCAGGAACCTTCCTGGGGGCAAAGGGCCGCCGGCGCGTAAGACTGACAACCTCACCGCCATCTGCGAGTCGATTGTCTAGAAAATGTTGGAGCCTGAACATCTCACAACCAAATGGGCCTTCAGGGCCTGTTAAAGGGATAACTTTACTTACTTACTTTACGTAGGAAACATTCCGTGATGAAGCGAACAATACTTAGACTTTGTAAGTTTTGAGGTTTTCACGGCGATGACAATGAAGAAAGTCGTCTTCTGGGATCTGGCGCCGTGTATTCTTCGTTTTAACCGACGTTTCGGAGGAACATATCGCCTCAATCTTCAGGGTAGTTGAGTTGCGTGCGAATAGAGACAACTACAGCTGTCTCTATTTGCACGCAACTCAACTACCCTGAAGATGGAGGCGATATGTTCCTCCGAAACGTCGGTTAAAACGAAGAATTCACGGCGCCAGATCCCAGAAGATGACTGTCTTAATACTTAGACTTGTTTAAGACTCCGTATTGCCGGTTTCTTGATTGGCTTACGCCTGTAATTTCAAGATGGCGGCCATAAGTTCCTCTGCAACGTCGGTGGGCTTCTACCGAACTACATGGAGTTACGACCCAGCAGATCGTATTGTGTAAGTTATCATTTGTGCTAGCAGCATGGCTGACGAGCGAACCTATGTAATGGAGCACTCCTCGAATTGAAATTGTTGTAATTGTATTGATTTTAGCTTTAGCCAAATGGCAATTGGTAGCTGATCTCGAGGGTTTACTTGTACTACTGCTAATACTGGAGCCAGTTCCATTCCCCTCACGTCCCCACTGTCTGCTTCCCCAGAATACTTCATAAAGTTTTACGCTCGAATGGCCATTTTCGGAGAGGTTTCCTTATCAATATTTTGTATGCATTCATTCTCTTCTCACTCTAGCTACATTCGTAGCCCATCTTAGCCTCCCAGATTTTTGGACGACTGGCATAAAGTACTAAGTCCCTCGTTTTGTATCGTTTTGTTATATCCTAACATCGGCACTCCATCCATCTTGGACCCAACAATTTTGCTGAACTCCTCGTTTTGCCGATTTCTTCGTTTCATTCAGAAACGTCTAATGAACCTAATTTCTTTAATGAGCCGCACACCCTGCATGAATTACTCAGAGTTTCAAGTTGTACAGCCGTGTTTTAAGGTCATTATACTTATTTTTTCCCTTTTTTATTATTTTCATGCAGCTAACATGAGCAGCGTATACATATTTTCCCCCCTTTCGTATTACAGCCCCAATTTGGTCCTTGGCCTACCTCCACGAGACTCTCCGTTTCAGCTCGTCGCAAGGCCTTTTTTTTTTTGCGCTACAGCCCCAGTGGGCCTAGGCCTACCTCCATGAACTTCTCCGTTCACTTCGGTTTTTCTAGATCTTAGACATACAGTAGGACTCCTTGGGCTGGTGATCAGCTCGTCGCAAGGCCTCTCTACCTGTACGTAAACACAGACAAACGCACATACACATACAAACACCAAACACCCGTGTCCTGTGTAGGATTCGAACCTACGATCCCTGCTTCCGAGCGAGCGAAGACAGTGCATATCTTAGACCGCTCGACTACCGTGACCGGCATACATATCTTTAGTCTCAGTAAATACTTTTGCGGTTTTCTATCGCAGTATGATTTTAGAAAAAAAAATACTTTTGTAAAAAATAAACTTGTATTTACTCTGGTCATGTTATTTGCACGCTTACTCTTCGTTTGAGCTGATTAATGATGTTCTGTTGCCCGCCGTAAATTTATTTCCTCTACCCCAAATGCACGGGACTGAAGAGAGAGTATAGACTCTGCCCTTTCCTGTTGCGGAAATGAAAAAAAGATTTGTATTAACTTCTTGATTAATTAGTATGCACTACAGCATAGCACAAATTAATTTAAATATGCTGTAATATTTTCTGATATTGTCCGAATTCGATGAAGTGTATACTGCATCTGCTGTCTCTACCACCATGTCCAGACTGGTTCTAGGCCCAGCCAGCCTTCTATCTAATGTGTACTAGGGTTTATTTCCTAGAAATTTATGCGTGATGCTGACTATTGTCCTCCATCTAGTGCTGAGGTTAAAGATACATGGACTGTACCTGCAGTCCACTTGTGTTTTCATGGAATGGCGCTTAATTAACACAGGGCTGGATTTGCATTTTACTCTCTGTGTCCGTCACCGGAATAACTTTACATAAGGCAAAGCGGAGCAAGATGAAATTTCGTTCAAAAGCTGGAAAAATTAAATTTAGAACATACAGCTTATAGTTTACAATGCGATACACTCACCATTTTTGAAAAGTTTGAAAATTGACTTTTAATTGTCACTAATTTGCTGTCGGACTCGTGAAGCACATCGTGCATGCTGTGAAGTATGTTATTTCTGAACTTTATGGCGCTGTAATTTCATATACTAGCGGAACGACGGTGCATCATCACCAGTTCGTTACGTAGACTCTTACGTCATCATTCTAAAGTTAATAATTTTTATTGTTGACATACAGCGATGTTTATACTGTAACGTGTCGGCAAACCAGAGGAGTAACTTCTATGGAAACGCTACAATAGACCGTTACAGAGGAGACAACAATTGCTCCATCGTAATTCTAACAGGAGTCTCCATGGTTATAACGGAGGGTTCGCTGCCTAACAGCGGGCAAGGTTATAGATAGCNGTATTGTTGACATACAGCGATGTTTATACATTCATTCATTCTTTCTTTCTTTCATCCATCAGTGGCTCTACAGCTCTTTGTTGGGCCCTGGCCTCTTCTTCAGTTTATTAATCAATTTTGCACAGACGGTCGGACTCCTTGGACCAGTGATCAGCCCGTCGGAAGACCGCTGCCTACACACAGGACAACACNAGTCTCGGATCACCCTTCGGAGAATAAAGTCTCGGATCAGCCCTCGGAGTAGAGAGTCCAGTGCCTCGCCGGATATTGTAAGCAGTGATTGTGACACTGCAAGTGTAAATGCCTGTAAAGTGTGTGTAAGAGAGCGAAAGGAATAATTCGCTATATCAAAGGACGGCGTGAACTTATTTGTCGCGTTATACACCCCAAATACGTGACAGTACATTCATTCATTCATTCTTTCTTTCATCCATCAGTGGCTCTACAGCTCTTTGCTGGGCCCTGGCCTCTTCTTCAGTTTATTAATCAATTTTGCACAGACGGTCGGACTCCTTGGACCAGTGATCAGCCCGTCGGAAGACCGCTGCCTACACACAGGACAACACAAACACAGAAAAAACACACACACATACAAACATCGGTGCCTTGAGTGGGATTTGAATCCACGTTCCCAGCTTTCGAAGACAGTCCATGCCTTAGACCGCGCGGTCACTATGATCGGCCGATGTTCATACACCGTTGGGAAATTCAGGCATACGTATATGAGACTTTCCTCGCTCAAGATTGTCTACGCAAGCTTTGATATACACTGGTTCGTAGAATAGGTGGACTTTTTGGTCGTGCCTTTTCTCACTTTTCACGGCCGATTGACGGCATTGGAATTAGAAGAACAAAACACAGTATTTTTGTATGTTAAACAAGAGGAAAAAAATCAAGCTGTATCATAACAGCTTCGAATTCGCTGTGGCCAGCAAGGGAGCATGTTCGAATAGAGTTGTAAACGAATCGATTCGGACAGCCCCACATAAAGAAAGTAAAGTTTCCCCTGTGTTTAACTAATTAAGAGCTATGCCTTGAAAGCGTATGGGAGAGTGGGTGTGTAGAATCAAATTTTCTTGACCTGGGCCATAGTTGGAGGTGAGTGGTCAGCTTCACGCACCAGCTGCTCTACCCTCTGGGAAAGAGCCCCCGGAACACATTGGATAGGAAGTTGGGTGGACCCCAGAGCCGGTCTGGGCGACATGGACCGTATCGAGACTCCTCGGCCGTCCAGCCCGCAACCAGTCGCTATACCGACTACGCTATAACGGCTCATGGGAAACGATAAGTTAATTATATTGTTGCTGTTGAATGATTGATGTACTTAATACAAGCAACGCGCTGATCTACGATTTCGTACATTAAGGGCCCCTCAGGAGCTCTGTTGCTTCTCGCTTCCCCATCCTCTGGTAGTCACCGTGTGACTACATGTCCCGTACAGTATTGCCCGCCCGGTTTGTACAAGTACAGCGGTACCAAGCAGAGCCCTGGAGAGCGGTGGAGAGACTAGTTTACGGCATACGAGAGGAGGAGGCATAGTATAGTACACGCACTGTTTGTATTAACAATTTGAAGCCTGATACTCATGGTAGTATTATTTAAAAATTAATTTAATACAGCACAGAAAACATATTCCGCCTTCATTACAAGTGGAAAATTCTACGTCCCAGAATAATTTCTGTTTATTATGAGAATCATAAGAAACTCATCAATACACCCCATGGGAAAAGTTCATACTATAAATGCTCATAATTCATGCAATAACTACCTTGCTTTAAAGGGTTGTAAAGGTCAGCAATGTGAACGGAGAAGTTCATGGAGGTAGGCCTAGGCCCACTGGGGCTGTAGTGCCAAGGAAAAAAAAAGGTCAGCAATGCAAAGATGGTCAGATAAATTCAGGATTTGCTAACCGGCGTATATTGTGTTGTTAAATTGGTTTTATCTTCATTACCAGCTCGGTTTCCATGCACAGTAGTTGTGGAATAAGAATGAACTCATAATTTTGGCATTGTTGACTCATATCTCGAAATAAGGAACCAGGATGGGGGATTTTTGTAACTGGTTTCGAAAATCTTTTTCAGCAATATAATAAATAAGCTAGAGATGATTACAATATTGCCAATTGTACATTGTGAACTGTAAATGAAGTATTCATCCATATTCCTTTGTGAGCAATTAGGCTTTTTAATTTGTATGTTGCAGACTCTTAGAAAAGCTGCCAGTTCAGTGTCCCAACACAACCATCTGTGATAAAATTCTACAACGCGGCGACCTTGAAGACCATTTGAGTCAAAGGTAAGTTTGTGGTTCAGTCAGAATAAAGTTCAAAATTTAGTGTGTAGAATTAACCCACATAATGCACGTGAATTTCTTTGCGGGGTTTGGGGGGGGGGAATGCTACTGCTCTTGGAGCCCGTAAGAAGGAAATTGAAAAATTAATGTACGGCTCATAACTGTAATGTCATCCGTTCTTTATGAATATGAAACCACGGCAAGAACGGGAAATAAAATTCAAATGCTAACAAGTATACAAAAATTCTATTGTTGCTTGCCTATTTGTGGGGTTTATTGTACCATCGACGCTAAAATTTACGTCAGACGTAGCACATTTAGCAAATTGTGGAAGGTAAATGCAAAGTTTTCCTGTACTTAATTATTTAATCACTACCCCATGAAGGATGGGTCAGTACACGTACAGCACCACCAATCTTGACCGCGGCACTAGATGTACGAAATGCGTGTAAAATATTAGTAATATATCCTTTTGGAAAGAAGTGTTTTATTTATGAGAATTATTATAGTCATTTGAAAATGATAATATGACACCACTGAACTACGAAAATGAAGTTCCTAATCTCTCTCACGTAGTATGAAAATGTGTAGTCTAACTAAAATAGATAACTTCAATACGGGGCACATATCTGCATATGATTTATCTCCTGGTTTGTCATACAAGGTGTGTACGCCGCAAGGTTTTCTGGGGCTATAGTCTGAGATCGAGGTGCATCTTGCAACTCACGACCACTGCCATCACTGGCACTATCACTGTTGGTTATCGTTGAATTTTCAGGTACAGCAAATTTTCCAGTCTCTGTTCTGCTTTCCATGCCATGGTTACAAACCAAATCCTAACTCCTACATATATATTATATAATTCTAAAATTGTATTGACGGTCAGCCACTGGAGCCACTGTTGTTCCCAGTTTAAGTGGCCTGCTCTTTGCTGCTTTGTTTAGAATTTTTAGGAAGAACATCTCCAGGTGAAGACCGGTAAACCGAAACATTTTCATCTCTTACCATTTCAGCAGCTTCACAAATAAAAACGGAGGCAGGAAATTCGTCTTATACACAAAATTAGATGTACATTTACAAGGCGGTGGTAAATAATATAGGCCAATAATTTTAATCGAAGAGACGTAATTTGTAAAGTCATGTGATGGAGTGACTGTAGACGGGGTTTGGATTGGTAATTGAATCTATCGAACACTTACAGATCGCAACTACAAGTAAGTATAGCGCTATCGCTAATTCACATGCTCTGCATTCACTACAGCACGCACTAAATCTTCCCAGGCTGCTGTGCGACTGTATTTATGCCACAGTATTGATATAATACATAAAGTCTTTGCTACAACATATGATAGTAGTTCCTGCACGAATACTGTTTTTACTACAGAAGAATAGCTAAGAAACAACTTCTGCTAACAAAACAATCGCGGAAAATGCGCGTGTAATGAAAATAATGTAATCTTAGAACTAATTAGAGCGTATGAAGTCCTAAGACCTATTGACCTTCTGAACAGGTGGATCCAGGACTAAATAAAATATATCCCTCTAGTGTCTGTATTTAAGGAAAGAGATAGAAATTTGTGTTCTTATTCAAATGTTCACATTGTAAAGGTTTATCTTTTACGTTGCCTAGTGTTTCCCTTTCACTTTTAGCAACTACATGTTCATTTCTGGTGACATTTCGAACAAAGGAGCTTCTCTGTCCTATGAAAATTAGCTGACCTCCTTACCCCTTCCTTTGAAATACGTTGTACCCTTAGGTCAGGAGGAATTTGGTCCTCGCTAGGTTCACCTGTGCCTTATGACGCCCACGCGCGTCTAGTGCGAACGGACGCACACACCGACTCCTTTATATTGTAGATGCTTTGTCACGGATTTGTGTGAGCCCTGAAATTCACCACTTCTCTTATTCTACTGTATTCCTCATATCTTCCTTCTTAAGATCTTTGATAATCATGGCGACAAAGATTCAGGTGGCACAAAATCATTTCGAAATTGTATTCAAATTCAGTTCGGCAGTTTCTCACCGATTTCTATTCTTGTACAGTAGTTTTATAATGCCATCACTAAAATTATCTGCTCTAACATCGCCTCGGAAATTATTCCGAACTCTACATAGTCCAAAATTTACACGGGGTTTCTAATAACATTTCAACTGCATTCGCATTACAAGCTTCTCTCGAAATAAACACACACAGATCATATAATCGTATTTAATCTCGCGCAAAAAGAAACACAAGAAATATAAAATATTAGCATGTAATTTTATTTCGTTCTAGGAATAGAACAGTGTCCGGTGGAAGGTAGAATAACGGATGTTCAGTCGAAGTAGCTGAGACGCGAATGGCCGAAAGGAAAACAGAACAGAGTTGCTAGGGAGAAGACGTGGCATTTATCGAGCGCCATAAGCAACTGAAAGCAACGTACATAGAAAAGTGAGCTAAGAGCAGCGCCTTCAACGAACTTCCTGCAACCTAAGCAATTTTTCTTTGCCATACAAAATGTAAAACAAAACAAACTCCGTGACCTGTAGTTCGCAAGCGAACTATACCGACTGAGCGACCGCCGCTTGTCGGCGAAGTTAGTGCCAACTTTAGCGAATAGAGGGTGTCGCGTGGTCAGCGCAACGGATCCCCACGGCCGTTAATCTCGGGTTTCTAGACCGGAGCAGCCATGTCCTTGAAAATAGCTCAGTTATCCTCACGAGTCATGGGCCGCGCCATAGCTCAAGTGCTTAGTCGCTGGCTTCCCACCGCGGCGGCCCGGGTTCGATCCCGGGTCTGGTCAAGTGGGATTTGTGGTGGACAAAGTGGCGCTGGGGCGGGTTTTCTCCGAGTACTTCGGTTTCCCCTGCCAATCTTTATTCCACCAATTGCTCCACAATCACCCTCATTTATCATCTGGGGCTGGTACAATAGGCCAGAAGTGGCCGCAGTACAAGGGACTTAGTCCCACCCCACTAGCAATAAAAAAAATCCTCACGAGTCTGAGTGGACCCCGTTCCAGACTCACTACTTCTCAGAAAATCTGGTAGTGCCGGGAATCGAACCCGGGACCTCTGGATCTGTAGCCAAAAACTCTGACCAGTAAACAAATGTAAACAAACTTTAAATCTCTCTAACTAATTTTTATGTCGCACTAAATCAAAAGAAATTATAAACTAACTGGGCTACTTTTCATGCATTGAAGCATCAAATGCTGCTGTGATCCGACTCTCCAGACCTTAGGGACGGCGCCCCTGACCAGAACGTAATATAAGAATATGTTACTTACGTTGCGTATCTATCCCATGATAACCACTGCATCACAGACGCCATAAAAACTGTAACAGGTCATGGAGGCCCATAGGGTTGTGAGACGGCGAGGCTCCCACATTTTCTAGACAATCGGCTCACAGATGGCCGTGAAGTTTATTAAAACTGTACGAAACGCAAAGAGGAAACTACAGAAACAAACTCAACGTTTATTTAGGGCTTCTACAGCAGAGTGAGATGAAGCCATGCGCGTGGTGCCATCTGAAGCAGAAAAATAACTACCAGGAAAAAATTCAACCATATTCTGCAGCAGGCGAGTCCAGCCCACTACATGCTTACCTGTGCTATAAAATAACTTGCTTGATCCAGACTTTCCGTGTGTTACAACTAAACTGTTAACTTCACGAGAAGCCAGCAGTTGCTCAGCAACACTAGAAATTCCAAGAATGTTATATAACCCAAAGGATCATTATTGTGTTTGCAAGAGTCCACCACTGAGTCTTCGTCCTCTTGAGCCAGACGAGTCCAGTCCATACCCCTATTCTCTTTCTATCAGATCCGTTTTAATATTATCCTTTTTCTAGTCTTTCTAGTGATATTTTTCCTCCATGCTTTCCTGTAATTCTTATTGTTTTCCATGCAATCTACGTGCCCTGCCCATCTAATCCTCTTTAACTTCATCAACGCTCGCAAAACTTGAAGCACAGGGAGAACAAAATAACCAAACTCAGTATTTTCTAAGATGGCGCGATAGATGCCCTTCCCAGACCTACAATTGTAGTCTTTGTTGATGGTGAAGGATTGAACAACATGACTCCGTGTTAGTGTTCCAAACTAAATTATCACATAACTTCTGACAGCAAGGAAGGGGTTCCTATTAATACGTGTATATTTATTAGGCTAAGTTTTGTGAATCATTCATTCTTATTTAACACGGACAACAACATAAGAAGAGTTCTGTCTTCTGAGTTATAACGCCATGTGGTCTATTGAGAGTCAGCCGATGTTTCGGAGGGGCATTTCGCCCCATCTTCAGGGTGGAATAATAAGCCAAGCAAGAAACCAGCGTGAAGCAGGTAGCAAACGAAGCAAGCTGTGGTTTTGTGGTATCTGCCTGGGCCTATTGCCTAAGTGATGGTCATACGTGAGAACTGACTACGGGTGAAAATGTTTCGTAAGAGGGAACCGAGAGAAAATGTGATCCATTGCCGTTGTCTCCAGGAGTCGTCCCCCACACAGTGCAGCTGAATTCTGCCGCAGGAACTGACGTGCACACCTAATTTAAACAAAATCACTTTGTTTTAAGGAAATAGGACGTTCTTCTTGATTCAGATCAGCGATGATTGTATAAAATATATAGATCTCAACTTTATTGGCAAGGCAAGTACAATTTCAGAGAATTTAAAAAAAAAATATTAGTTAGTGTCTATTGAGTAACATATGGCAAAAAAAGCAAAAATTCCATGGCCTGTAGTCGTCAAGCGAACTATACCGACCGAGCGACCGTCGCTTGTCAGCGAAGTTAGGACCAACTTTTGCGGATAGAGGGTGTCGCGTGGTTAGCGCAACGGATCCCCACGGCCGTTAATCTAGGTTTTCTAAACCAGAGGCGCCATTTCCTTGAAATACATCCTCAATTACCATCATGGGGCTGATTTGACTCCGTACTTCTCAGAAAATCTGGTAGCTCCGGGAATCGAACCCGGGACCTCTGGATCTGTATGCAGGAACTCTGACCACTAGACCACAGAGGCGGTAACATATGGCAAGGGTTCTCAAATTTTGTCGTACCTAACCACCTGAAATAATTGAAATAAAAAATTATGCCACCAAGTGTCGGCTCCAGCTACATTCTTAAAAAGCAGCTGCATTAAATCAAACAGATTTAATGACTAGCGGAAAATGTTGGTGGATACAACTACGTTTTACATAATTCTTGAGAGCTCAGCGACACACTCTCTTTTAGACCTCAAGGGATCGCGACCCAACCATTACCTATCGCATTACTTGAAGGGTTAACTGAAGTGGTACCTCACCTCTGCTTAAACACTTACCTACAGCGATATCTGGCACAAGCTTTCTGAAGCTACACTTGGGCATTTTGATTGTTGAGCAGTTCAGAACTAATTCTGCTTACAGTTCGAAGACTGAGGAACGCAGGTCGTCATGAAGGCTTGAAGAAAGACACGTAGAATTTAACAAACGTTGTGCGACACTGTGCTTTCGGACAAGATCTTAAATTCCACTCCTCAAGACCTTTATCAACTCACAAGCCGGAAGGTCTCGGGTTCGATTCCCGATGAATCCATTGGATTTTTCAGTTGACCTGATCCTTCCAGCCGCGCTATGACCCTGGGGTCGACTCAGCCTCTAACAGAAATGAGTGCCAGGAATCTTCCTGGGGATAAAGGGCAACCGGTGCGTAAGGCTGACAACCTCACTGCCATTTGTGAGCCACTTGTCTAGAAAATGTGAGAGCCTCAACGTCTCACAACTCTATGGGCCTTCACGGACTGTTACAGGGAGAGCGTTACCTTTTACCTTGCAACCATGAAAACAAAGGCAATAAAAGGCATGTGACGTTTGAAGTTTTGACGGAGGTGTCTATGAGGGTTACTGTCTTCTTGCTTTATATTATGGAATATAGGTACAGATGTTTCGTAGGGAATTGCTGCCTCCTTTTCCTGCTAGAGGTGATACTCGTAACTTAGTTTATTTCACTTTCATTATTTTAAAACAGAAGCAATATCATGCCTATATAATAGTCAATTTAGTGCGTTTTATTACGTCGCGGTGACATTGTTCTTTGGCTCTAGTTTATTTTAGGCATCAGGTCAAGGTGTCATTTTGTAGTATATCTTGAATTAATTGCAAAGCTTACAGGAGACGACGGACCTTTCGACAGGATTAAAAACTATTAAATTAGTTACGTCGGTCGCACAGGGGAGGGCGTGGCTTTCGTGTTTTAGCGATGACGTCAATATCCCTACCTGGATTTTTAATTCGTTCAGTACTGGAGTGCGATTTATAAAATATCGACTTTAAGTGGAATACATTTTCAGGCCGTGGTTAATAATTTAGTTTCCTAATGCTCACATTGAGCCGGTTACGGTAGCTGAGCTGTCTAAAGCATATACTGCTTTCGCTCGCTCGGAAGCCGGGATCATGGGTTCGAATCCCACATAAGACATGGATATTTGGTATGTGTATATATTTATTCTGTGTTTGTGTTGTCCTGTGTTTAGGTAGAGGCCTTGCTACGAACTGATCTCTCGTCCAAGGAGTCCTACCGTCTGTAAAATGATCATGAAACTGAAAATCAGAGGCCAGGGCCCAAGAGGGCTGTAGAGCCAGTGTAAAAAAAAATGCTCGCATTATGTGCTGTATATGCGGTGTGGAAATATGGGCACATTACCCCTTCATATGTCCATGAGGTCATAACTCAAGAGACTGGAAACCAGCTGTTCGCTACATTTGCCCGTGTTCGTTAGCAGGTCTCTCAATTTTGGATTTGAAATATGGCCGCGCCATAACTCCAGCGGTTAGTCGCTGGCTTCCCACCGCGGCGGCCCGGGTTCCATCCCGGGTCTGGTGAAGTGGGATTTGTGGTCGACAAAGTGGCGCTGGGGCAGGTTTTCTCCAAGTACTTCGGTTTTCCCTGCCATTCTTCATTCCACGAAATTCTCCATCATCATAATCATTCGGGACAGTCTACAATAGGCCAATCAGTGGCCGCCGTACCGAGTGGACCCAGTTGGACTCCACCCTCCACTAAGTGAATTTTTAAATGTCGGCCTGGCAAGGGCTTTCCTAAGTTGCTTCGCATCATTCGATACGTACAGAAACTTCAGGTGATGCTTCACATAAGCAACTCCACCGCTTGTGCACATCGGTGCAGGTATGACGCAGTTATGAGCCACAGAGGAACTCATGGTACAGTAATTAAGTAATGTATAGAAGGTGCGAGATTATAAGAAGTTTCGTTGTCCCGTTAGATGCCCTGGAGCTGGTGCTGTGGCTGCTGTCAAACCACCCCGAAACTCTTCAACACCACCCGTCTCTTCGCAGCGTCAATCATCGCCCTCGAAGCACGGAGAAGTCACCAGCCGAAACAAAGGTAGGAACACAAATATTTCAGCGTCTCCATGGGAACCCAAGTGTGACTGTACTGAGAGCTGTAAGATTTCGTACCTTGAATTATTTGTGTAGTTCGATTGACGGGCCGGTTTTATATATAGTTATTTTTTGTTATAACTGCAGTTCATCCTTAATTATTTGGAAGATTACCCGGCGATGAAGGGTAATATTTTTTGAAACAATTGAAACAGGCTGTCCTTATATATTTTTCTTCCAGTATCGGTCATTTTCATGTGTGGCATACAGAGTATTAGACTGCTAGTTCGAGATAAAATGTAAATATATGTATGTTAGTATATATTAATGCTCCGCAAAGGGAGTGTCAATTTATCACGTTTACTTGACATTGACATTAAGCTCCATGCAACTCTTTTTTGAGCCCTGCAATTCAACCCCAGTGGAGAATACTCCTTCATAAAACTACTAGGTTAAGTTCTGTTGAATATTCAACAAAGTATCTTAGTTTGTTGTTTACAGATTAAAAGTAATGTAAGTTTTAATTTACAGCGTAAGGCATACTTCATGTTACGTTATTTCCCCGTTTACCCCGAAGTCCTCTGTGAGAGCAAGCAAACATAATACAATCATTGCTTTTTTATATTACTATAGAAGATTGGCGTGGAGTGGGTATGTGCTAGGGCCGCGCCATAGCTCAAGCGGTTAGTCGCTAGCTTCCCACCGCGGCGGCCCGGGTTAGATCCCGGGTCTGGTCAAGTGGGATTTGTGATAGACAAAGTGGCGCTGGGGCAGGTTTTCTCCGAGTGCTTCGGTTTCCCCTGCCAATCTTCATTCCACCAGTTGCTCCACAATCACCCTCACCTATCTTCTGGGGCTTGTACAATAGGCCAGAAGTGGCCGCAGTACAAGGGACTTAGTCCCACCCCACTAGCAATAAAAAAATGTATCTGCTATAGAATCGTACGTCGAGGCAGTGTATCGTTTGACTCGTTCTATAGGACGGTCTACGATCTCTATAAACACGAATATACGAATATACGTATGTCAAGCCGGATATACTCGTAATACTTTATAACCACTAATATAGTGTGTGCTTATTGCTACATTAATCTGAATAACATATAATATAACACGGACTCGGAGCGCTGTAAAGGATAAAATATTCTTATATATTTATTTTTTCGAATAAATAATATTCAATAAATTTATAAATAGATACATAAGGACAAAACAAAAATAAAATTTATCAAAATTTGGTTAACATTTTTAGGGAATTTTCATAATCGGTCAACTTAAACTTCTCAAATCATCATCATCATCAGTAATCTGTCAAGGCGACAGGTCCACAGTCTCTTTCAAAACAATTCCTCCACTTAATGCGATCTAGAGCTTTCTCCTTCAAATGACAGTATCCTCTTCTGTCCCCAAGGTCTAGTGTTTCTTCTCAAATATGAAATAGAAATTTATTTGGTATTGTCCCTAGTTTCTTTTATCCCCAGCATGAAAGAATAATTTACGCAGTTTCACTTACAATCACATTATTCCAAATTGCAGTTTGAAAAGTCGTTATAAATCTTGTGTTGTAATTGTATATTACTTCCATTTCATTTTTGTTTTTCGTTTACTCATATTACTCTCGATTACCACCTCCTCATCTGTGGCCACGGCTTTCATGTCCGTCTTTAATTAACGTGTCTGAATATCCGCCCACCATCTATTACGCTATTGTAATTTGTTTGTCTCGGTATTGTATAAGTTGTTTGGGATAAATAGTCTTCACATATGAGTTGTATCCTATTTTATTTCAAACAGATTCAGTTTTCTTTTCAACATTTCTTAAGAATATATATATCTATGTGTGTAAAATTGCATAAGTGTGCTTGTGTTATGTTATGGGATTTACTATACCTTAAACTATAATTCAAAACTGGAACAGTTAATGCTGCTTTAAATTGAAACTGGCCGTGCATTAGCAGAGTTTCTACATGCAATGATATTTTTATAGGTTCCGTTCTCTTTAATTGAAAACGCGTGTAAGAGAAACGAATTCCGATATATTAGATGTGTCGCTTGTTCTCTTGTTTAACGACGTACACTTCCTGCGGGTGGTTAATTACTTGAATGATGTACTGTGAAAGGTTTAGTGACCTGACGAGAATCCAATTACGGTTCATTTGCTTCGTAATATAAGTTGTAGCGAACCTGCTCGTGCAAAAGCCGAGAAAAACTCTTTCTATATTTAAATATATTTAACTAAAGTAATTTTAAAAGCGTCAATTAGGTTGGAGCATGTGCTATATTAGAAAAGTAACCGGATTTGTCCCTAACCGAAGTTCATAATGAAGAGCAATCTGTAATAAAAAATTGTTATTTCGGATATGAGGTTCTCACGGCGGTGGCTATGAAGACTTCTGGGTTGTGGCGACGTGTAGCTCACTGGAAGACTACGTACATTTCGGAGGACCTCACTGCTTCCATGTTCGGTGTTGAAGAGTAGTGCAATGAAGAATCCAGAAAGACGCAGACGCAACTAGAGTCTGCTTCTCGCTGGTTTCTTGCTCACTCTTCGACGTTGAAGATCGGGGGGCAGTACGGTCCTGCGAGAAGTCAGTGGAATTCTACCGGACATCATGATGTTACATCCCAGAATAGAGCACTCTAATTCCCATTTATTTTATCGCAAACGGAGCGCTGTTTAAATTAACTGATTGAAAGCCTGTCGCTCTAGTTATTATTTTGGGCATGTTTAGATTGAAGCGAGCGCCAGCCATCCTAATCACCGGACATAAAGGAGGCCATGGCCTTCAAGTAATCACGAACTATTAAGGCGCGTCTACATTACTCGTGCTCATGTGACTTGCTATGCTCGCGAGTAATGTGGACGATATGACAAGTCACGAGACAAACAAGTTTTAAATTTTTAATTTAAAAACTATAACCAATAAATTAGATTTACGAGCAGAAGTAAAAGGCAGACGAGTCTCCCGACGAGCACGAGCACGAGTAATGTGGACGATATGACAAGTCACGAGACAAACAAGTTTTAAATTTTTAATTTAAAAACTATAACCAATAAATTAGATTTACGAGCAGAAGTAAAAGGCAGACGAGTCTCCCGACGAGCACGAGCACGAGTAATGTGGACGCGGCTTTAGAACTCTGGACAGTTAACTCACTGCAGTAGAGCTCTTCCATAAAATCTAATGGCGCCCCTCAGATATTCAACAAATTCCTGTTCTTTTATATATCTCGTAGACTCATTACCCTCTTCACAAGGGCCTTCACTGGTCCATATCACGAGAAAAATGAAAGCATCTCGCATCTTTAAATCATATTCCTTTACGATCACTTTCAGTGTTATCCACTCATCTACGCCTTGGTATCCCAAGCGGTCTTAAAACTCTTAAAGTTATCCAACCATAATATTGTACCATTTTGATCTCTCCCATAACTAACTCCATGGAGCTGATCGCTTCTTCAGAAGCCGTCAGTTGTGCTGTGCAGCTACTCAAGAACTTCCCAACGTTTTATGGAACCCGAAGGTGATTACCGTTTTCACAAGAGCCCTCCACTGGTGTCTATCCTGAGCCATATCAATCCAGCTCATACCAACCCTTCGTATCTCAGATCCATTTTAATATTTTCCACCCACCTACATCTTGGTCTTCCAAATGGTTCCTTTCCTTCGGGCTTTCCCACCAGTATCCTATATGGATTCCTATTCTCCCCAGTGGTTCTTCTCCCATGCGTACTACATATTCCGCTCATACCCTTAATTTTATGAACTTAATAATATTTCGGAAGTAGTAGGCATTATGAAACTTCTACACAAATGTCAGTAAAGAGCGTCGTGTAGTGTTTCTTTGAATTTCTTTAGGTAAGAACATATACCAGTTATGTGAATGTCACTTTTCATCGTCATGTTAGGTATATAAACAAGCTACCAGTTGCAACTGAAACACTCTCACGGTAACAAACCTATGTCTTTCGTTCATCGGCAACAAACTGCGAAATTGAGTCGAGTTCCTTGCATTATTTGACGTCACGTTGCACATTTTATGCAGGAGTTAGATGCGGAAAAAATAAGGCGTCTGAAACTTGTTTCCATGCGCTAATACGTTAACAGGAACATGAAGTCTCTTATATCTCATGGCGAGGGTATATAGTTTCATCGTGGCATCATTCTTAAGTGACTTCATGGAAATTGCTAGTCCCTCAGCTAGTAATGGAATCCCCTGTCGTTCATGGAATCTGTGTGTTCGGAATCTGTGTGTTCAGTACAGTTGTCCTAATATAGATACGTCAAATCCACATCATATTATCCTATTCCTTGAATATCAAAGTTAATGTAGTCTGTCCTATTGAGGTTTTCGAAAGAGCTTCAATTTGCATTTTTCACGTAATATCATTAGAGTGATCAAATCAATAAAGTTTAGCTGGACGGGGCATAGAATAGATGTGGGAGAAATTAAAACAAAAATCGTTAGTTGTACTTAAGTAAAAGAAAAAAATTACTCTGAATTATGCTTGCCCCCTAACATGAAATAACTGTCTTGAACGTTTAAGCAACAACAAATTTCTTCCAATTTAGCACAAAATGTAATAAGTCGTTGAGCTATATTTATTCCCCAAACGTCCATTTTGATCATTTTATATCGCTGTTTCTGATAGTAATAAAAAAATAATAATATTACAGTATGAGCCAAAAACATACATTACTGAAACTCGTGCATCTCAAACGCGCATGTGCGTTTGTCGACGGGGTATAGCGCCAGCCGCACGTGTTCCCAGTAGTGAAAAGGAAGTTGTGTTGTGCAGTTGTTGTTGGAAATGGGTCTCTCGACGGAAGAAAAAGTGTTCATAGTTGAGTATTATTTCCGCTCATACGGGAATGGTCGCCAGACAACTCGCTTCCTTGGTTTTGAGCGGCCAGATATTATCGTCCAGAAACCGCTGCATAGTACACGTGTGACGATATGGTGTGCCGTCTCAGCACACAGTATATTAGGCCCCTATTTCATT